TTCACGGTCGTAAACCACGAAACGCGTCCGTGAACTTCAGGCGTGCAACAAAACGCGCCGCATCGTTCACTTCTGTTACGGGTCAACTGCCTTTTTTCACGGTCTTAGAGACAGTGAACTCACCATGCCTCAGTAACCTTCGATTTGGCTCTGGACGCCTCGTGATTCACGGTCAAGGGCTCCTTTTCACGGTCTTGCATGACCGTGAACTTCCTGGGAAAGCCGTGAACTGGCCCTTTTTCACCTCTTCTCCTGGTTTTCGATCCTTTTCGCCAACTTTCGACTCCGAGGTTGGTTTCACCTATTGAATCCTGAAACACACTAAAACACGAGGAACCTAGCGTAAAATCAACCTTTTAGGAGTGAAATTGGCACAAACACCTAAGTAAAACGGGGGCAAAACATGTACAATTAAGCCCGAATCTCTCCCCCACACTTAGACGTTTGCTTGTTCCCAAGCAAACCATTTCACACAAGGTAATATTTCAACCTACACAATTACTTTGGGGACAACTCAAAGGGCACGAAGCCGGAATTATCAATGGTTATTGGCAATTAACACATGGACCGTTGCAATCAATACCGACATCCACCACAAACGACATTCGAAGCCACCAAAAACGGGCAACCGAAAAGTTCTCACCTTGTTCATGGATCAATTCAAGTCTCAACAAGACCACTTATCAATCACAACCGACCATGCATGGAATTCAAGTCTGAGGAACAAATGGAAATGCAACAAAGGTCCTCACCGGGGTATGATGTGACATGCAAAACAAGAATGGATCACTCACTCTCAAGACCAGTGGGGTCGGGACCTTTTTGGTTCAAAAGATGTGCTTAATCATAAACTCTCGGCCCTATAGTCTCAATACCACGGTGGTAACCTCTAGATGCTAGTGTTCACGGGATGGTTGTCACCACTAGCTCGTCCGGAGGTCTTAGACACGGGTTTAGATGACTAGCAATTGTCTTGGACATGGGATAAAGGCTCTTTGGGTGGTGGCAATCATGAAGTGAGGTTCTACGTCTTCAACCTAAACCTGAAGGTTCTATGGTTTCGACTGAAACCCCTCTTTTCAACCCAGGGCCACTAGCATCGGCCAAAATCCTTATCTCTCCTTTCCAAACTATCACCCATCATGAACTACATTGAAGTGCTCTTCCTTAGTCTATCCTTGCTAGCACATTAAGGTTTGTTAGTGAAGGAGTTCTAAAACAGAGTGGGGGTTTCGATGGCTTGGGTGCCAAGAAACCCCTCCTAAAGCATGTACTTTCGTTTTTTCGTGGCACTCTCTACTTTATTTACCCCATTTTACTACCTTTTTTTCGTTTCTCTTTTTTTTTCGCGGGGGGTACTAGAGAGTAAAAACACTTGCCACCTATACTTTTAAAGACCAATGCTGTCTTTTTGAGGAACTCACTCCAACACTACACTTCATTTTTCTCATCTCTAGCAAGGACCGCACACGAACCACCTATGTAGAACCTCTATTGAAACTCAAAGGCGAGAGCTCCGGGACACAAGGGGGACTCATGTTTAGATACGAAGAAAGGAATGGGGTCATTCTATTAACACCATTAAGCTCAACCGCACGAAGCTCCTAATAAGAACGACCCTCGAAGCCACAAGGCTCAAAGGGGTTGACTAAAGGATGACACATTTCGGGACAATCGACATTTGGGAGTGGACTAATCATATTCCTCCATCATACTTACTAGTGACAACTTGTGATGCTACACACCGTGGTAAGAGGGAACTATCACACCGAAAGGAACGATCGGCTCAAAGCTCACAGGCTACCTAGTTACCCAACCATCTATTCCAGTTCACAAACACGATGCATGACAATTGTAAACGACAAGTGATCAAGTCAAGACATCCTTTCATTTATGCACACCTGAGAACTAAACTTTTGCCTTATCCTAATGAACTTCTCAATCATCATCATAGTATATACTCGATCACATGCAACAATTCAAGATCAATGCCAATAAACACGCGAATTTCCCTCTATCCGGCCACTTTGCTCATGCAAATATTGCTTGGAGCCCTCAAATTTATGAAATTTGGGCATACAAAAGGCTCCAAGCATTAATCACACTCACACAAGCATACTAGTAAACTACCCCCCCCCCCCACTTAAACTCGACATTGCCCTCAATGGCGTAAGAAAGGGGTAGAATGATGTTACCGCTTGGGCTTGGTGAGTGAAAGTTGGAATCGAACCGGGGTAGGATAATTGAGCTTCAAGGAGAGAAAAAAACACACACAAACACAATACGACTCGCTCGAGGCGAGGTTATTACAAGCACAATACATAGTAGTAGTTTATGTCACACACTCACAGAAAATGAAGAAAAATAACAAAACAAAAAAGAAAACAAGTTCAGGGTTACAAGTAGAGAAGTGGGGCGAAAGGACTCCGCTCTGCCACATGTCTCACTCGTCGGCTACCTCTCTCTGATGGATGGACCCTCTCCAACCTCGGGTAGAATACCCTGTCGTCGAGCCCTGAGCTCGAGGATGTCGGTCTGCCGATAGAGGCGGGATGAGAATCCCATGAAATTCGTCTCTAGGCGATCCACCCTCTAGACGAGGGGATCGCCTGCTGCTGGTGGTGGCTGCTGGAGCGCTGGGCGTCGGCGACGGTCTGGTGCATGAGCAGGTGGCTGCTATGCTACTGGCGGGACCTCTAGGTCAGGCTTCACTGGAGCCGGTGCTACTGCAGCTCAGATGACTCCGGAAGGTCAAATTCCGGCAAGGTACTCCACTCCTCTCTCACCCTGTAGTACCAGTTTCTGGTTATATAATGTCTCCATTGGGAAGGGCTCCATCCTTCCGACTCTGGTGCAACGGGCCAGATTCACCTAGAAGTGTCGGGCGATCCTCGTGATGATGCCCCCCATATGCATAGTGTCCACTATGTTCCGCCCCAGGCACCGGGCGAAAGAGGTGGCGATCAACGATCCCAGAAGGATCGGCTCAGCTGGACTCCTCAACGAGTAGAGGGCAATGAGCCCTCTGTTCGTCATCAAGTGGCCTGACTGGAGGCTGGGGACGAAGGATCTGGTGTGCAGAGTGTGGAGAATCCTCCACTTGGGTCTTCAGCTTCACCGCATTGGTGCGGCTCCCCTCGAACTCGTACTGTTCGTGCTCTGGGAGGCAAAGGGCTCAGAATGCGCCCTGATAGTTGAAGTCGACGGTGTACTGCCGCTCTGTCATCGTCATGTGGGCGGTGTCGAGCCCCAAAAAGACTTTGGTATCTTTTGCTTGTAGGATTTGAGTGGTGTATTAGGTAGTAAAATTCCAATCATTATGTATTTGACAAAAAAATATTGTTTGCTGATTTGGACATTTTTTAGTCCCAACACGTATTTACAAATACCATATTTCATTTGGTATTTGGTCATGGAAGGTAAGGATTTGTGACCCATGTTACAGAAACCTTTAATCCATGATCAAAATCAACTAAACAAACAATGTTATCTTTCAAATACAAAATGTAACGAATCGGCTAAATTACATGTTTGGTCACTCAAATTACATAAATCTTTCACGTTTGCCACCCAAATTATTTTTCTTTCTTATTCGCCACTAACTTTTCGAATCGTTTCATCGTTAGTCACCGGCCGTTAGTCTCCGTCAGACTACGTTAACTCCGTTAATTTTTTGATGACGTGGCAAACAGAACTGCTGCTTGGATCATTAACTTAATGACATGTAAATTTAAATAATAAAAAATAATTTTGCAGCCTGACCGTCCCGGCGAATTGCTCCGGATCCAAGCCGTCGGCGGCTGTGTAATCTACTGTGACGGCCCGAGAGTCCTCGAAGTTCTGGCTAGGTCAAGAGCAATCGATAAGATTTGGAACCATCACACCCCCATCGTTCTAATCTTCTTTCCAGCCCAAAATCCTGTTCTGATTCTTTCGTTAATTCAAAATAGGGGACGAACACGAACAGGGGACGCGCTATGAGAAGTGTTGTCGAATGACACCACTTGCGGAGTCGTCCCGATGTGCCTCCACACCCGGAAGCGGCCTTCGTCGTCGGCAGAAGGATCTCCGTTAAGTGAGGCTGTCGTGGGGAGCGGCTCCGACTCTGACGCGTCTATCTAATATATAAAGAAGAAAAGAGGCAGGGATCGAGGCCACCACCATCCGCATCGCACTCCTACTTCCATCGCCGCCGTCGCTTCAATATCGTCGATCCGAGTCGTCTCCAGTGCCATCTCGAGGAGTGGGATAATCATTAGCCAGGATTTGAAGGATCTTGAATCTTCACCGCAAAGGTTAGCGCTGGGTAGAATTAAGAAGATGGGGGAGTTGGGAAGTTTAATTAAAAGAGGAGAGAGCAGAAGAAAATAGGGTTCTTTGAGATTGAGGAACTGATGAAGGAAATGGGCAGAGCAGAGCTGGGCAGTTGGGCGGCCAATGGGAAGATGATTGGAAGACGGAGCGGAGGGATTTGATTCTGTATCTGGGTAGGTTTGCCAACCTTTTGATTTGGTTATTAATTTATTTTTATTTTTTATTTCTTTAGAATTGATTTTTCATTAAATTAATAATCCAGTCAGAAGTTCGTTTGCCACATCATCAAAAAAGTGACGGAGTTAACGGAGTCTGACGGAGGCTAACGGCCAGTGACTAACGGTGAAACGATTCGAAAAGTTAGTGGCGAATAAGAAAGAAAAGTAATTCGGGTGGCAAACGTGAAAGATTTATGTAATTTGAGTGACCAAACGTGTAATTTAGCCGTAACGAATCTATCAAAAATCTAAATGTTTTCAAAATTCAAACCTTCATTTTCAAATTCAACAAGCAAACCAGCCATTAATCTTATGAGTTGATATTTGATAAGGTATTGCGCATTTTTTAGTAGTTGGGGTGCATTTGCAATCGTCTAATCAAAGGGGATCAAAACTGATTGACTACTACGCCTTCCATTCAAGAAACACGCAAAAACCCGATCGTCAGCTGAAAATTGTATCTGAAAAGGGGCGGTTAGCTAGACGCTAGTTAATAAGCATCGATCGCACACAAAAACCCAGCAGTCCAAAACATTCCATGAAGAAACATGCATGCTATGTTATGTTGATCCAAAACCAAAAGTCTAAATATGAAGTAAAAGTCTCCAGCTGCCACCTTTTCCTAGCTAGCTACAAGTCCAGACGTAAACATTGCCGCCAGCTGCGGCTCCGGCTAGCAGGCCGACGCGTTGAGGATGCGCATCGAATCTGCAGGGAACCGTACCCATGTTGGGGCTGTCCAAGCTCATAACCACTCCTCTTTGCACCGGAGAGATGACGTCAATTGCTTTGTCCATGCTGCCCACGAAAATGCAAGAGTCGTCCCATCCCCATATTGCTCTGGCAGGCAACAAATCATTGATTAATTAATTAGGAGTGATCGATCAACAAACAATGCAGCTCTGTGCTTGCTTGCTTGTGATTTATTTATGTATGCAATTTCTCTGAGATGAGAAACCGAAAGTACCTGAGTTTTGGAATATATCTGACACTGTGACCATGGACATGAGGTATCATACAGCTAACATCCCAATTGGTCCCATTCTGTATCCCCACGTAGTCATCCAAACTAAAGCAGCCAAAAGTTGTAGTAACAAGTATAAGACGGATGCAAACACAACCAGTAACTACAAACTTATGACATAGACATACCTTAGCGTTGCAAGGGCGGCCCCGGAGGGCGAGAAGTAAGCAGAATTCACAGCGCCTTTGTGCTTCACCTCCTTCAAACACCTGGGTAGGCCCTTGCGGATAAATCTCAAATCCCAAATCTTTGCAGTTTTATCCCTCGCACCAGTGGCCATGACCTTGGAGTTCCCTGGATTGAAATCTATGGTGTTGATGAGGTGGCTGTGAAGATCCAACTGCAAGGAAGGCTTCCCGGATTTCGTGTCCCACACAGTTAACACTCCCCGACCTTCTGCCATGTACAAGCTCTTGTCATCATTTGGCGGCTTCGATAGGCAGTTCAAGCGCTCCACCCTCTCGCGCACAAGAATGAACTCCCCCTTCTCAAGATCCATCATTCGAACGTAACCATTGTAGCAACTCGTAAACATCTGCACAACACCAAATTAGATTAGATTAGATTAGATTAGATAGTTCCCAGAAGAACAAAAAACCCCTCATCGCCAGCCAGCCAGCAAGCTAAGTAAACCCCCAAGCCAAGCTTCTCACCAAATGATTGACAACAATATCCAACAGAAGAAAACATTCCAACAACCTGGAGTACTGGTATTAATTGTACACCACCAACCAAGGAATTTAATTCATTTACCTGAGAGATGCAGGATTCCGGAAACAGAATCCCCGAAATCGGACCCGAGTGAGGCCTATACAAGCATCTGCCATCATTCCCCTCCTCCGAATCCATATTCCAGAACCCCACATTCCCGACCTTGTCTCCCGCTACAACCATCCTCATACTGCTGCAAGGCATAAACTTGACAGTCATTACCCAATTGGGGACTACCATGGCAACATTCTTGCTCTCCAATTTCATCGAGCCCAAATCCAGTTGGCCCCTGACGCTCTTATTCTTAATCGGCCCCTCCATTGACAATAGAGTGGCTACCAGATTCTGGTGAGATCCAGTTCCGTCGTGGGCATCAGTCATGCTCAAGGGACCTGATACACGAGGGGAGACCTTCTCCCAAGTGGCAACTCTTAGGGTTTCGCAAACGCCGTCCACGTGGGCCGGGGCCAACCCTTTAGTGCGGAGCGAGCGCCGGACCGTCGGACTCGCTTTCTCCAACTTGCCTTTCCCAATACCGACTCTGCAGCAAATATATAATCGCAATTAACACGATAACCACAATCGAGAGATATGTATATATAGGGGAAAGAAAAACAGAAACCCTACCTCTGGCGCTTGGAGGATTTGGAGAGCTGCGCATATCATTGGACTGAATTTTGACGGCGGGCCGCTTGCCCTCCTTCTCCTTCCCTTTTACCTTGGGCGCCATTGATGTTCCTTTAAAGCTGCCAAGACAGAGACAGAGACAGGGACAGAGACAGAGAGGCAGGCACACCGACAGGTCTCGGAGCGGAGCGGAGCGGAAAACAGAGGAACGGGACACGGGAAGGTTAACTGATCAGAAGCGGCACAAGTATATATATGTATATGGTGGCGGCAGAATTAATTTTGGCGGGAACATAAATGTAACCCTACTTCCCAAGCAGATACAGTCGGTAGGAAGGAAGTTGTAACACCTCCAATCCAATCCATCGAATCGGACGGTAGGACAGGTTCAACTCATCTTAATTCCTTGGCTTTTGGTTTTGGGCTTTCAGTGAGAGAATTCGAACCAAGCATAATTCATTGGGATCTACAAACACTTGCCCCGCTTGGTGTCGTGTCGTTTAAGGATTTCGGACTCAACGCCTCACTTGGACGTACGGCTCCATCAGAGGCAACGCCGCAATTAACTGACAATAAGACATGCTGGTGTTTAAGTGTAAAGGCTTAAGTATATGCTTAAAGCGAGTCTATTGATTGATAGGAATATAGTTAGTTAATGGAAGGTTAGTAGTTGATAGGTTGTTAAGGGTAAATAGGGTATTATGAAAAATAATATGATTAATATTACAAGTTATCAGGAAACGGAAGAAGTAAAATCCTAAACCCATTTTCTCTTTTCCGTACGTATCTCCTTCCAAAAGTGACCATAGGCGAACTCCTCCCATCAACCACTCCAGTCGTCGCTCTCCTCACGGCAACAACGTTATCCCCACAATCCCGCTGTTAGAACCTCTGCCATCCCGCCGGCATCCCATCGCTACAGTTCTCTTGTCTCCGGCATCACGACGACGTGTTTTTTTTGCGACACCGCCATCCTACTTAACGCCACCCTACATGTTCTTTTGAAGCCGACATGGATGCTTCTCAACAGTTTGTGATAGATACGAATGTGTTATCCGGGTTCATATATGTTGTTGTTAACATTCCATGCTTTACCTTGAAAAATGACGAGCTATCGTTGATTATGATTTCATAAATATCTTAAATTTGTGTTAGAAAAGTCAATAATGATGATTTTATATTGTTAATGATGCATGCATAAAAGTTGATAATGTTTCGTTACATTGTTAAAAAGCGTTGATAATAATAATTGTTAACGTTATATGATTTACATTGAAAAATGATGACTTATCGCTACTAATGATTTTATAAACAACCAAAAAACTATTTAGGAAATAATGAACCAAAAAAGTTCATAAATTGTTGGTCATTGTTAACAATAGTGTCGCAAATTTCATTAAGATTACGTAGGAAAAGTGATTTTTATGTTGTATATTGTCAATTCTGTTGAAGATGCTGAAGTTCAGAGGAATCCGAATCCGTTCTGGAGAAGGAGAGCAAAACTACGTCGTTGAAGGGTCATCGCTTAAGTGTGTCTTTAGATTGTGTCGTTTGGTATTTTTCTGTGTTGGTCATTAATGTTTGTTCTATGTTAGTAGTGGTCAGTCTGGCTAAACTAGCCGTTGCAGAAGTTTACGTTAGCAGAGTGAGTTTGTTAGCCTTGGAGCTAATCTCCAGGGATTCAGTAGTTGAGAGTCGAGTGTCAAAGCCAAGTCTGTAGGCTTTCAGTTGAGAGTCCAGTGTATAAAGATCGATTTCTATTCAATGAATAAAGTTGTCAGTTTGCGATCAATTAGCTTTCATTGTGGTATCAGAGCTACTGCGAACTGTAACCAACGAGAGGTGCGAGTTGAGCAATTGAGATTTGAGTGAAATCGCTGAGGTTCTGGGTTTTGGGAAACACGAGAGAAAAGTGAGGATTTCAATTACTGGTGTGAGAGAATCCAAAGAGGAGCAGAGATATGAGTATTGACAGCAACTTTTCTCAAGTGGGAATTCCCAAATTTGATGGGGATTATGATCACTGGAGTATGCTGATGGAGAATCTGCTCAGGTCCAAGGAATTATGGACGGTCGTGGAAGATGGATTCAGAGAGGCTGATGCTGGGTCTGTGCTGACTGAAGCTCAGATAAAAACATTGGAGGCAGATCGTTTGAAGGATCTGAATGCCAAAAATTATCTTTTTGGCTCCATTGATAGGAGCATTCTGAAGACTATCACTCAGAAGGCAACCTCCAAGCAGCTGTGGGACTCCATGAAGACTCGTTATCAGGGAAACGAGCGTGTGCAAAAGGCAAATCTGCAAGGGCTCAGAAGGAATTTCGAGTTGCTGCAGATGAAGGAAGGAGAGACTGTGACCAGTTACTTTGGCAGGGTAATGGTCATTGCAAATTCAATGCGAAATTGTGGTGATGATATGACAGACACCAAAATTGTGGAAAAGGTACTTCGCACTCTCACTGAGAAGTTCAACTACATTGTTTGCTCAATTGAGGAGTCCAAAGATATCTCTGAACTGTCAGTGGATTCGTTGCAAAGCTCTTTGCTGGTTCATGAGCAAAAATTTACAAGATTCTCTTCTGAGGATGAGCAAGCCTTACAAGTATTTGGTGCTGGAAGAGGTCGAGGTGGAAGGTCTGGCTATCAAGGCAGATGAGGTAGAGGAAGAGGAAGATTCTGGAACAGGGATCAAGTTGAATGTTTTAAGTGCCATAAAATGGGGCATTTTAAGGCTGAATGTCCTGAGTGGCAGTCTCAGACTCACTACTCCAGCTGGGACTCCACTGTTATTAAAGATGATGTTCTCTTAATGGCATACACAGAAGAGAAAGGAGTTGGGAATGGCTCTATCAAGAAGGATTCTGACTGGTGGTTTCTAGACAGTGGCTGCAGCAATCATATGTGTGGAGATCAAAGCTGGTTCATCAAACTCAATACTGGTTTCAAAAGTGAAGTCAAGCTAGGGAATGGCAGCACACTAGATGTTCAAGGAAAGGGTACTGTAAAAATGATGGTTGAAGGAGTTCCACTTGTTATTCAGAATGTGTTCTACATTCCTAGCCTGATATCCAATCTGCTAAGTGTGGGGCAAATGCAAGAGAAGAACCTGGCATTCACAATCAAAAATGGAAGCTGCAGGATTTATCATGAAAAGCATGGACTGTTACTCCAAACATCTATGAAGTCCAATCGAATGTTTGTACTACAGGCTAAGAAACACACTGCAGATGGTGGTCATTGTCTACAAACTGCTCATCACGACACACTGAATCTATGGCATCGAAGATTTGGTCATCTGAGCAAGACAGGACTGCTTCATTTGGAGAAGAAGAAGCTGGTGCAGGGGCTTCCAAGGCTGACTGGAGAATTAGAAGTCTGTGGAACTTGCATGGTTGGAAAGCAAAGCAGAACCAAGTTTCCAAAGAAAGGAGCATGGAGAGCCACTAGACCACTCCAACTCCTACATGCTGATCTATGTGGTCCTCTCACTCCAACTTCAAATGGAGGGAAAAGGTACATTATGACACTTACTGATGACTATAGCAGAAAACTCTGGGTTTACTTCTTGAATGCAAAGTCAGAAGCTTTAGCTTGGTTCAAAAGATTTAAAGCACAAGTGGAGAATGAAACTGGAAGGTCCATTGCTTGTCTTAGAACAGATAGAGGAGGAGAGTTCTTATTGCATGAATTCAGAGATGTGTGTGAAGAAGCAGGTATCAGAAGGCAACTAACAGCTGCACTCACTCCTCAGCAAAATGGTGTTGTTGAAAGAAAGAACAGAACTGTTCTGAATATGGTAAGGTGTTCTCTGGAGGATACCAAGGTTCCCTCATCTTTCTGGCCTGAGGCTGTTGATTGGGCTGCACATATACTCAACAGGAGTCCAACCATAGCCAATGAGGGTAAAACACCACAAGAAAGATGGACAGGAAAGCCTCCCTCAGTGAACCACTTGAAGGTGTTTGGTTGTGTGGCTTATGCTCATGTGCATGATAGCCTAAGAAAGAAACTAGACAGCAAAAGTATCAAATGCAATTTCCTGGGGCTGTCTAAGGAATCTAAGGCTTATAAGCTTTTCAATCCTGAGACAAAGAAGATCATCATTAGCCGAGATGTGGTCTTTAATGAAAAGGAAGGCTGGATAAGCAAATCTGCAGAAGAACCTGCTTTGATCAAGTTGGTATGGGAAGGAAGTGAAGAAATCTGGAATGACTCAGAGGAAGAAGAAGGAAGTGAGGGAGAAGAAGGAGAAGAACCAGCTACTGCAGATGATGATAGCAACCCACATTCTGCAGATGAGAGCATTAATCCTTCCAGCTCTCAGACCTCATCTGCAGATCCCACTACAACACCAACTGCTCCTCAGACAGAAGAAGAAGAGGAGGAGGAAATGACTGATGCACTGGGATTACCAATTAATAGTGAGCTAGGCCCCAGGACTCGAAAATTCCCAAGTCGATTTGGAGACTATGATTGCTCTGGGATGCCTAACTTGGCATTCACTGAAAGTGACATGTGGGCTTTGGTAGCAGTCAGTGGTGATCCAACCACTTTTGAAGAAGCAGTACTGGATGAAAAGTGGAGACAAGCTATGAAACAAGAAATTGAGGCTATCAAAAGAAACCTTACCTGGACTCTAGTTGACAAACCACCTGGAGTAATCCCTATTGGAGTCAAATGGGTTTACAGAACAAAGCTAAGAGAGGATGGATCAATTGACAAGTTCAAGGCAAGACTGGTGGCAAAAGGCTATGCTCAGATACATGGAATAGATTACAGTGAAGTGTTTGCACCAGTGGCCAGATGGGACACTATAAGGACATTCTTAGCACTTGCAGCACAACATGGTTTAACTGTGTACCAGTTAGACATCAAGAGTGCATTCCTGCAGGGAGAACTTACAGAGGAAGTATACATCCAACATCCACAAGGATTTGAAGTTCCTGGTGCAGAAAACAAGGTTTACAAACTACAAAAGGCCCTGTATGGCCTAAAGCAGGCTCCCAGGGCATGGTACAGCAGAATAGAGTCTCATTTTCTGGCAAATGGATTTGAAAAGTGTGAATTTGAGCACACACTGTTTGTGAAAAGGAAGAAAGGGGATGTGCTGCTAGTGAGTGTGTATGTGGATGATTTAATCTATGCAAGTACCAGTTTTGAGATGCTAAAGGAATTCAAGGAATCAATGGAGGCTGAGTTCGAGATGACTGATCTAGGGAAAATGAAATTTTTCCTAGGAGTGGAGGTAATTCAATCATCTACTGGTATCTTCATTTCTCA